AAGAGCCGACCAGTCATTTGTCAGAGGTCATTTCGTGTGTAAATTTTGAATTTATTATTTAACAATGGAAACATTATATTCCTTTTATTTATGGATGCTTCTTTTTGCGCGAGTGTTTTTGTGTCTTTTAGCGCTATGGAATTTCAACAATCGGCGATAATTTTCGGTAACTAACAATTAAATATTTTAACATTTTTAAAACAGGGGTGCAAATATCCGCCATTCAGAAATTATAGCAGACAAATCTTGCGTGTGTTATTTTTTACAAACGTGTAATAAATTGAGTAATGATCACCCGAGAGAACGAAATGTCCCGGTGATCCACTACATTTAGAAATGAACAAGTTAATGTCGTATCAATTATGTATCTTTTTATGTAACTAAATATCTTTTTACACATATATTATATTTATATCTCTACTTTAAACTCAATATGTACCCCCCCCCCCTAAAAATAGTTTTACACGTGTACATGCACACTATTTACCTGCAGATGGAGCCGCATACTTGTACTGCGTCGCATTTATACTTTGAGGTCATGATTCCGCCATTCACGGAAAGTTTTTAACGGTGTTATTTGATTTCGCCGTGGTTATTTATATATTTGCTGTTGGCATCAAAGATAAATAGAGAAAGGGCATTTTAGCAAATTACAAGATTTTCTTGATACAACTTCATGTAGATCTACTAATTAATTTTCGTACTTGTACATGTATATCTGGTTTCAAGTTCACAGACTACACTTATAAATAGATCTACATTTATTATACAAATGAACATGTATTATTCCCCGCGAATCGCGGCAAATGTTCACGGCAAAATCGCCGCGAGTTGAATTCGCGGCGATTGTCTCAAGTTGCCGCGAATTCGCTCGCGTTATAAAGCATGAGAGTTCGCCGCGAATACGCGAATTGTGCGGGTTTCGCGTGTCCAGTACTGTACATGTATATGGTTCATTAATCTCTGATTAGTTAAAGAAGTTCTCAAGTCATCAATAACTTTCATTTTAAGTCGCTAAAATTTTGTTTATGCAAGTTAAAAGAGTTAAGAGTTTGTGATATAAATTTAGGTACAAAATTCATTCAAATGGTGCTAGTAATTATGCATCGTCTGATAACCACGCCGGAACCATTAACATTTATGTTATGTTACATGTTAATCAACCGTGAGTATCGGATGATGGTAATTATATGATATCGGATAAACTTAAATTTCAGATACTTGAATAACGGCAGCAAACGAAAGGAAATGGAAAAAATACATCTAGTGATTCTATGCTATTTATCTTTATTTTAACTGTTTAATGATAAGAGATCTGTTTCTTCTAGAGTTAAAATTATTTTAAAAGGTTAAAAATACCCAATGTCAAAAATGAATGTCAACCAACAAGCAACAGGGAGGTAAAATTCTGTATTATAAATCTGTGAGAAAAATAAGATAAGTTATAGTAAATAATAACGTTGTCATTATTTAAATAATTTAGATATTTCCTTGTTTCCAAAGACAAACAAGATTGCATTTGAGAAAAATGCTATGCCACCGCATGGTTCAAATTTCATAGCTGTGCATCAACCTTCAGACAAAAATATGTTGTTTTTTTTTCACTATATGTACATAATGAAAATCAATGACCCCTGGGGCGGAACCAATTTTGACCCCAGGGCTATAATTTGAACAATCTTGCTAGAGGTTAACTACACAATGTTTCATGCAAAATATCTTAACTCTATCCTTTGTAAATTTAGAGAAGATGATCTTTTAAGTTTTAACTATATACATATAAGATAAACCTATGGCTCCCAGGGGCGGGGCTAATTTTGACACAAGAGGCAAAATTTGAACAACTTTGGTAGAGTACCTTTAGATGATATCATTTAACAAATATTAAAGCTCTAAGCCTTGTACCTTCAGTCAATAAGATTTTTTTATCTTTTACTATGTGTATAAAAAGTTATATTGAAATCAATGACCCCCATGGCGGGGGCAAATGTAACCCCAGGGCTATAATTTTAACAATCTTGCTAGAGGTTTACAACACAATGTTTCATGCAAGATATCTAACCTCTAGCATTTGTCAATTGCTAGAATTTTTTTTTTAAGTTTTACTATATACATATAAGGAAAACCAATGACCCCTGGGGCGGGGCCGATTTTGACCCCAGGGCTATAATTTGGACAATCTGGGTAGAGGTCTACCAGACAATGCCTTATGCAAAATATCTAAGCTCTAGACCTTTTGGGTCTTTACAAGAAGGTGTTTTAAGTTTTTACTATATGTACATATAACGAAAATCAATGACCCCGGGGCGGGGCCGATTTTGACCCAAGGGCTATAATTTGAACAATCTTGGTAAGGGTCTACCAGATGATGCCTTATGCAAAATATCTAAGCTCTAGGCCTTTTAGGTTTTTACAAGAAGGTATTTAAAGTTTTTACTATATGTACATAGTGAAAATCAATGACCCCCGGGGCGGGGCCAATTTTGACCCCAGGGCTATAATTTGAACAATCTTGTTAGAGGTCAACCAGACAATGCCTTATGCAAAATATCTAAGCTCTAGGCCTTTTGGGTCTTTACAAGAAGATTTTTTAAATTTATTCTTATAATTCCTTTTGGTTGCCATGGCAACCAGATTTCTGCATGGAATGAAATTCTTTGAACAACTTTGGAAGCCCTTCACCCAAGGAACAATCCTGCCAAGTTTGGTTGAAATTGGACTAGTAGTTTTTCACAAGAAGATTTTTTAAGTTCACTATATAATCTATATAACACACACACAAACACACAAACACACACACACACACAGGTGAATCGCTATATGCCACCGCATCGCAGATTGCGGTGGCATAAAAATAAAATAATTTATTAGTTCCATTTAAAATGTTAGTCTGTAAAAGATGCTATGTTATTATCATGATTATAAGACGTACCGCGTATCAGCAATGAATATTTGAATAACAGTAAGAAAATAACAGACACAAATTGCTTCACTATTCCCTAACTTGAGTTGAAAGAGCAATCACTTTAATATAAAAGTTAACATAAATAAAAGCTCTGTTGTGTATTTTTGACTGAGATAAAAACAAATAAACAAATAACTCTACCATTAAATACCTACTGACTTGCTCTACCTTTTCTGATTAGATGAAAAATATATATCTAAAATATCTGTTTTCTTTAAAGATTAATAATACATCTTTGTCATAAAGTTTAAACACTTTTTTCTACATTTGCAGTAAAAAGATATAGTAATGATAACTGACCACCTGACTTCTGGAAGGACCACCTAACTTTCAAATCTAGTGGTCCGGCGTACCACCTGCTAAAAAAGTTAGTGTCGAGGCCTGGATAAATTTCATATCTGACCTTGATAATCAAGGTCATTAGTGAATTTTTAACATGTTGGCATAATGTCATTAGTTGGTTTTTTTTTCTGAGCAGAATCATATCTACAGGTTGGAGACCATCAACCGGACACTTTTCGAACATTTTTCATACAGGTTTTTTCAATTTCGAAATTAGATACATGTACCTGAAAATTTAACACAATATGGACAGGTTCTTGCATTTTTAAGGGCTGGTTTGAAATTATTTCTGATTATGTTGACACTTGCATTTGAGGACCATGGAGGGGGTATCAAAATTTGCCGGAATTGTCCTCACTACAATAGTATGGGTCCAAACAGATATGATTTTATTATCCAGATAGCAGCTCTTTTTTTTATTTTTTACATAATATGAAATATTCCACCAGTCAGAAGCTGAAATTTTGGATATTCTATTGTTCACTCTGCAAATGATCATAGCTATAATACAACATATCTGTTTTGACATTGTAAGATATTTTGTATCAGTATGAATTAAATATTAATGGCAAAGTCAAAGGAAATCAATAACTTGACCTAAAGGTCACTTTATATTTCAAGGTCATTTCTTCAATGATTCATCTATTCTGCTGGCCTTGTCAGTTCAAGTTTGAATCAAATTCATAATAGGCCTTGTACAAAGCACTGTTGTGTTGAAGTATAAAGAAAAAAACATTATCTTTTTTAAATTTTTTTTCTTTGAAATAATATCCACCCTAAAATATCTTATCAATTTTTAAGTCATGCTAATCAAACATTCATGTATATATATGGATTGTGACCCCTCTTGTGAAAAAATCCTGGAACCATACCTGTATATTTTGTATGACTTCTGAACACATTTAGTGTACTCTACAGGAGCTTATCACAACAAAGGAATATAGAATGCCAGCAAGGTGAATGAACCATGGAGAATCTTGTTAGGACAATGACATTGATGTCATGTATTATCAACAAAGGTAGAGTTTTTAAGTGTCTGTCACACTTTAAACTTAACCCCTAAACTTAACTTAATGCTATTTTAACAAATTTGAAAGATCATATTAAAAATAAAAGAATTATAAACATAGTTACAGTTCTTGTACAGCATTATATATATTAAAATGTGCACTACATGTATATATCTAATTAAATCTTGTATCAACACACTGCACATAAATGCATCCTTGGAGAGTAATTAAAATACCCTTAAGCCATAGTCAAGTTTATTTCTAAATTTGAAGTTGAGTTATAAATGCATTTTCTGTATAGTAAATTAAAACAAGAAAAAAAACCCTTTTACAATTTGCTAAAAAATTTACATAGTTCTGTGCTTGGGTCACCAATATTTAAGGTACCACACCAATTTAAGAGCATATGAAAGATTTGATTAAATAAACTGATTAAGTTAAGCTGCCAAAACAAGTAATCTTGAAGTAAATGCCAAAACTACAAGTTTCTCTATAAGAAACAGCTAATTTCTTATCATAAATGCACAGACAATCTGTTTGTGCAGAAGTGGACAAATCACTCCAAGTATTTTCAATATATTTCAAATCTCTAGGGGGAAATATGTCTTCACCACAATTCTCTTTTACTCAGCTTTATGTCTTATTTAAAATTTATTGCCAGGGAAAAAAATGGAACAACTTACGATTGCATCCTAGGTCATGTACTGTCAGAATTGTAAAATGGCTATGCTTGAGGTCACCCTGCAATAAAAACAACACAGATTTTTAATCATACAAATGATAGAAGGTTTGTCTAAAAAATATTTTGACTTTCCCTAAGGCAACAGTAAACAAGAAAAATATTACATACATTCGTATGTAATATAGGTACGATTGCATACTACTTTTTGTGAAGACTTTATGTTTGCTGAATTAAAGGTGTAATGTAAAATGAAGAAACATGTCATGAGATATTTTATATCTTTAAACATTTTCATGGAATGTAACTAATGTATCATCATATTAAAGTTGCATGCTTTCAGATGAGAAAAATGATTTCAAGAAAATCAAAATATGAAAAGAAAATTCACGGTCAATTGACTGCTTTGAAGCATAATCACAAAATAAAATTACAGGAAATTAAAAAACCTTTTTAATACACTTAAGGTAGAATTTCATTGTAAATCATAGTCACAGATTTGAGATATTATTATTTATTCATATTAACATCATTATTGGTTTTATATTGATAAAAAAACGAAAGACACAGTTTGTAAATATTTATTACAATAAAATATGAAAAAGGTATTTTCCATCCTATGCGACGCGCCAAGGTTAGCTATAATTAAAATTCCCGCGCAAAGTCGCAGTGGTGCTTGGGATAATCACTTGATACTGTAAATGGCAGCCATTTTACGATACGAAAATGCCTGGCCCTCCTCGGACAGTTTATCCTGCCGAAAAGTAAGAAAAAATACTTGCAATTCAAAGTTTGTTTGCTACATAAAGATTATCGATTTACTCTTTGCACACTTTTTCTCTGCCTGATTGTAATAATATTGATGTGTTTTCATTGGCTTAAACCATCACGTTATCAATACACATAAAGGTGTGAACTTATTTCGTGTTCATTAAAATTATTCCGTTAATAGACATATAACAATCTTATTTACAAATGAACTGATAAAACAATAATACCAGAAGCATTTAAGATAATAACAATCATTGGAAAAAAATAAATGCATATAAATTTTAAATTTGTGTATGACAACTCACCCCCTAAACAAAACATAATAGACTCAACCAAAACAAGCGCCTGCTTCTTCACCTAACTATGTAGTTGCATGACCATGATTAGCAATACAGTAGCAAACCAAATCTAAGAGATAAACCTACTGTAAAAATAATACTATGACCACAGCAGATTTCGTACAGAAAAGCATCTGCAACCATCAAGCACATTTTGGGTCATTTCTGTTACATTCAGACAATAAGTTTTTCATGATAAAATGAATATCTGCCATAAAAATGAGAATCCTATTTACAGTCAGTGAAAATTAATATGCCTAAACTTAAAGTAGTGATTTAAAAAATTTATGCATTTTAATGTTCTTGTAAACATTTCATAACATTAACAAGATTGCATTTACTTTTTTATTCAATACTACAGTTTATTTCTATTAATTCACACATCTGTAGATAGTCTATATAATTAAACAACTGCTGACTGATGCAGAACATGGCAAAATCAATCTCAACTTTTACTTCACTGATAGACAGTTACTTCACTGATAGACAGTTTCACATGTATCATTTTAATTGTAATCATGCAAACTTGGCACCTATACTTCAGCAATGAAATCATTATCTATTCCTAAAGAAAATATACACCCCTAAGCCTTGACCTTCGATAAATTATTTACCATCTCAAAACTGTAACATTATAAAAGGTGTTTACTCAATTGTATCTATAGTGCACATTTATCTGCACATTTTAATGATATGAATATCATTAACATTAATGCTATCTAGAAAATGGCTTAATTCACGTATTCAGTATCTTAGTAGAGGCAGTGTAATAAATAAAATAGGAAAATTCCTTTGATGGCAATAAAAATAACAGTACAAGTTTAATGCTTACGTGCTTTGACACACATTTTTCATCTGATATTCCAAAAAACATGATTGCATGTTCATTGTACACAAAAATATACATTAATTCTATGCTATTAAATCTTAAAAATGAACAGTACAATGATTTTAATTTCTGATAAATATGACATATAAATATTTTGAAAAAACATTATAACATAATAAAAGACTTAAAGCAGCACGCCTCCAGATATGTCCTAATTTTCATGAATATTTTGAAAATGTACTAAAAAATAAAATATTGTTAGGTGAACAAAGAATGTAATTGACACATTGCAATCGGCACTTAAAATCCACATAAATTACCAAAAAGAGGTCAAAATATGCAAAAATAGCCCCTACTGCGTTACTAACGCAGTAGAAATATGGTGATAAATACTGCAAAAATTAGTCATTAATTGCACACAAGATATAAATTATCACTTGAATCTTTAATATTTTTACTTTTCTTAAAATCTTAGTACATATTCCCCAAGTTTAATTTTCTTGAAATATTTTGGCTAGTCCGGAGGCATGCAGCTTTAAAGCTAAACAGCTTTTGTTGTTTGTTATTTTTTTTTTTTGTTGTTGTTTATTTAGTATTCAGTGTGTGTGTGTAGGGTGGGGGTATTTACAAGATTTTATAAAGCTTCAACTTATTCCTGGCCCATTTTGGGAGTTGAATAAAACTAACCAGAAACACAGGCATGCAAAAAATGAGGTTAACTCATCCTAAAATTGGTCACTTGATCAATCCAAAACTAGGTCAATACAAACAACACAGCTTATCCTGTAAGATCTATTCAGGTACAATGTCAACAAATCTCTTATTCAAAGGATATTTTATGCAAATGGTATTTACATCCAGTTTTCAAATACAGTGTCATTGTTCAAGGTCAAATTGATAAAGAAGATATGAAAATAGAAATTTTAGAGTATTTTGATAAAGAAGATATGAAAAAAGAAATTTTAGAGTATTTAACTTGTCTTTTAAGATTATATGACTTTATGTCATGAGCCATAAATAAACATCGATTTTTTTTTTAATTAGATAAAAGGCATGAACTTCCTGGCTTTTATAAGCAACATATTCTCTTACAATTAAAAGTTAACTTGAGAAAACTGTTATTTTCTTATATTTGTAAACTAGACTTTCCAGTAATGTACATTTTTTTTGTGCCTTGGAAGTTGGATATCAGGTATACTTTCCAATTAGGTTGTATGATTCTTAATTTACTCTAATTAGAAAGGAATATAAATAGCATCAGTCAATATTGTCATTCTGGTGATTGTCAAATACAAATATCCACAGCTGACTGTATAAGACTGAAAAGCAAAGGTCTGTGAATTTTTGGCTCAGAGAAAAAAACACCTAAAAAATGGAACAATAAAACAAAAGTAAATCTTTTTTATTACTATTATAATTTCATATTTTACCGGACTGTTTCTATAAGTAAAATAGCACCTAAATAATAATTTCTATGATAGTAAAATGAAAATGAAGCAAATATGGTCATCACCATAGAGCTTGTTTATCAATACTGGGCAGTGGGCAATTCTAAAAAAAATATTTATGACCATACAAGTCATGTTAATTTTTTCTTTATTTATAACATACATTTATAAGCTTTTTAAATGTTGGTGTTTGCAATTCATTTTTTAATAAATATTTTTTTATTATTTTACTTTAATTCAAATTTCAGAAATATTATAATGTAACATAATATCAAATGAATTTTCATAGTTGCGCAGATTTAAATGTCACCTTGGTAGTTATTTGAAGGACAATGTTTAGTGATAAATGTCCATCATATATATATATCTGGTGGATAGACAAAGCTTTAGGCTAAATTTGGTATTAAACAAATTTGTACTTGCATGCCTTGTCACTTAATATCAGGGAAGTGGGTCAGGCTTTGCATTTTGTTTACAAAGTAAAGGGAAAATTATTTTTCTTCACCAGCAATCAGATATTTTTATTAATTGTATTGAATACATATAAAATAAACTGTTGGTTATTGTTTTATCTATCTTTTTTATATAATTATATTGTTTTGCTTTTTTCTCTTTTTTTTGACAAAAAACAAACTTCTATTTTAAAAATATAGTTTTTGTTAGCCGCATTAAAAAAATTAAAATCTTTTCAAAATGCAAAAGCCTCACAGTGATTTGACTGGTAACTGGTATTGGGTTTTTTCTCACTAAATTTATAAAATCGGGAAATCATGTTTACTTGTGTCAAATAAAAACATATTTTAAATTTTCACAGCCCCATTTAAATTTAAAACGTTATAAAATTTAAAAATATGTGAACTTTAAAATTATAAAAAAATTTTAATTTAAATTTGGGGAATTTTTTTTTAAAACGGGAAAAATTTAAAATTGGATTTAAGTTTTGGGAGTCAAAAAGGGGTCTGACCTTTGATGATACTGAAAAGCCTGAAAAATTACAAAACAATACTAGTTAGTAACAACTATAAGAAAAGACTGATCAATTCATCACACTGAAAATTGTTTAAATTAAAATGAAATAATATATGGGTAATATCTCAATGCCACACAATCAAATTCCTTGCATGTTAAATAGACAGCTCTTCAAATGCTCATTAAAATTAAAAAGTGGTTGTTTTTAACATGTATTCTGCTTAAACATATACATGTATATATTTTACAGCTGCTTTTAAAGTTAAATCTGGCAGAAACATTATTCATGCATTATTTTTAGTGCACTAAAATTAAAAGTAGCTATTAAAAGTAGCTATGTATTAGTCACTACTTATACATGAAAAAAATCATTCATATTTTTCCCTCATTTTTTTTATTTTATATCTTTTTGTATTTAAGTGATTTTTCCTATTATTTTTTATATTAAGTGTACAAAGTAGTGATATAAATTATACCAACGTCAATTAGAACAAAATTAATGATCTCAGCTCTAAAAAAAAAATGCAAATTCATGCAGTTTTTCATTGCAGAAATAAAACCATGACAAAAAAACTGACTTTTTCTTTTAACATCTATAGCCTCCTTATAACCCATTGGATCACCAACCTTCAATAAGGAAAAATGTTTACAAAATAAAAAATATCTTTTTTTTTCATGATCGTAAGCGACCAAAAAAGATACAGAGGCAGGTTATTCAAGGACAACTTTATTTCACACTTACCTGAATATAAACGTTGTATTTGCTGACTCTAGGAGCCGATATTTCTCTGTGCTGAAATACATTTCAAACATACGGTTATTTGTATCACCAAAGACACTAACTACATCCAAAATTTCGATAATCTGATAAAAGAACAAAATTATTTTAAAAATAATTTCTAGTTTTCAACGATTATTCCAGCATGGCAATCGCGAAATATGTTAAAATTGATAATTTAGAATGCTAATAAATTGTTTCACCTCTAAAGTTGCACCAGACATTCTTAAACTTTGCTTTCAGGCCTTATAATTATTTCCCAAATTTGTAAACAAAATTCAGCGTCCCAATATTGACGTAAAATATTCGGTATTTTCCGTAAAGCTACGTCAGTTTCCGCTTACCGGAGTGTCAAAGATGATGTTATTATAATTTCTTATGCATATTCATTTATTTTTATAAATAAATAAGAATTTGACTGAAATTTAGTATTTAAAATTTGTTTGATTGTTTGCTATTTTTTTTTAAATAACTTTGTTTATTTTCCCATCAGGCATCAACCATTATGGCTGACCTGATTAAGATTTTAAAAGTTTAATGGTTTATTAAAAAATATATTACGAATAAACCCGGTGAACTATTCCCCATGAAATCACCTTCATTTATTGTTAAACGCCTAATGTGGACATAATTTTTTCGGTAGATAAATACACTGATTAACTTTTAAAATTCTTTTCGATTTTTTAAAATTCTTAAATTCCAAATTTATCTTGTTGTCATAGAAACAAAGATGGCGGCGCCCTGTTAAACAAAATTTCTTGGGAAATATTTAAGCATAACGCAGTAAAACACCAGTGTTCTTCGTCGTTGTGGTCAATGTTCTTTTGCCGTACTAGAATAAAAGAAAGAGTAACGTGTTATATAATTTGGCAGACACATACAATGAACTTTGCTCTGTTTAAATATCCAGTTTTATTTTTATTTTATTTTTTTACACAGTAACGTTTCGTCAAGTGCCCTAAATTTATCCCTGTCTTAGAGTTAACACTCTTACTGTGTAGGTCAAAAAGTCTCAACATCATCAATGTAAATTTGATATATCTACCAAATTTTTTCAACCCTTCAAATTTCTTCGCTTGGAAGTTGGCTCATTAAAAAAAATATTGTGTATCAAACTAGCTGTGTTAAATGCTCAGGGTAACAAATCATGGCCACTCATGGATATATTCAAAAAGTGGCTGATTGGTTTTCAATGGTTAAGCTTGTTGTGAATAAAATGTAAAATAAATGGTAGTCAAAATTTAGGGCACCCGACGATAAATTCTATTTTTCTGTGTTTTTCATGGTAACTTTGTCTTGTATTTCTAATGAAATTTTCCTCTTTGTTTATTCCTTCATTATCCAGGATCATGTTTAACTATCATTTAAAAGTACTAAAAATAGCCAAAGGCACTGTCCTTTACTCAAATTACTGACAAGCTGGAACAGCTCTTGAATTTGACTCCTCTCCATCTTCACAGCTAGACGTGCAAGGTGGCACGATAGCTCAGTTGGTTAAACCACTGATTATCACTCCTGAGGTCCAGGGTTCGATCCTAGGTTACACCCTTGGGATTTTCCAGAGACACTTTCAGTGTTTCCCACCTACCTAGAGGTGTACTGGTAAGAAATCCAGGTAATCCTCGCATGTTTCAGTGCTATACACTGGGCATGTAAAAAAAACTAAGGGGTCTATTTAATAAGAGCTAGGGACTGGTTCCCGGATTCCCTTGTATCTCATAGCTGTCTCTTTAATGTATACAATGTATACCTGCATAGGGTGATCGTTAACAATTTTAAAGCAGTATGATGTAAAAGTAGACACCATAGAACTTTACAAATAAATAGGTCTACTCTAAAAGTAAAAGTTTAGTATATAAATCAGCACAACATATGATTCAGTGGGCATGCCTTTGTTATCGCCACAGAATCAAACAGTGTGTGCTGGCACTGGTAAATTTGCCTTTATAAAGAAAAAAGGAAAGGACAAATTGATTACAATTTGTTTTCAGAATATCGGATTTATTTCAGTGTCACGAGTTTTTATCGAAAAACCAATTTGTGAAAAAAAAGATAAATCAATGTTTATCTAGGCCACTGTGTTATTATTGAGTGAAGAGATTCAAATTTCATATATTCTATATATGAAGTATTTCATTGTTGTGTATTAACATGTGTTTGGTTTACATAATTTCAGGAACAATGAATCATCAAGGCCTTTTGGAAATCAGTGTTGCTGTGCTAGATTCATACGACAAAAATACACAGTCAATCGATGAGCATGTCAATAGATGTTTAAAAGATTTTGGTGTAAGTATTTGGTGCAGAAGTAATATAAAAGATTTTGTTAGCCCCATTTTCAGTAAGCCCTTTAGCAGCAACTTTGAATGGTCACGTGGCAAAATCCCCCCTAAATTCCCCAGCGCTGCGCATCTAATGAAACTATCTTTAGCTATTTTACCTCTGAAACAAAACAAGCTCCTTTAGTTAGTCCTGCTGTGTAACAAACAATTATAAGGAAAAAACTAGGCTCAATATCCTCTCCCCTTTGCTTCCCCAAAGGAGGGGTTGGCAGTTTGGGTTACAGTTATAGACTTATACAATTGCTTATAAGACAATTGTATACCATTTAATAATTAATATATTTTATTTTATGACTTAATAAGTTGAATACATTTGTATTATTTACTCAGGAGAGGAATTCAGATAACTTTTTTTATACAAAAAGTTTATTAAAAACTTGATTTCATTATTTTATATATTTTAAAATTTATTTGTTGGCTACAAGGAATTTGGGTTATTTTAGACCTGTCAAATTTCTCCCAAAGGCAAAAACACTAAAAAAGAGGTTTAATGGAAAAATGCAAAAAAAAATTACAAAGATTTTATTTTCAAATTTTAAATTTAAAGGGTAAGAATTTTTGTTGAGGTGTTTTCTGGTTTTGTACGGTATTGGATTTTAAATGTTTTATGAGAGGTTATTAATGGGAAAAATGGAAGTCAGTATTACGGAAACAAACAATTTTATACGGTGTTTTTAAAGGTCTTAAACAGTTTTTTGGAATTTTTTTTTTTAAATTTTTAAATATATTTACCCCAAATTTAAAAAAATGAGTTTTATGCAAGTGTCCAGACAAAATTGCAGTTAACTAAGAAAAAATGTTATCAAACAACTTTAGGATCTTAAAGAATTCTTAAAATATTTTTGGGCTGAATATCAAACCCACACCCCCTGCTTGCCATTGGAAAATCAAATTTTAAAAGCTTTTCATTCATTGTTATGATTGTTAATTGAACAACACAAACCACTGGGCTTTAAGCATCAATTTAACCCTATAGTTTTATTATGAATTTGAACTCATTGAAATAAATTCTTTTTTGTAACACAAATCCAAATTTGATGCCAGTTTTCAATATTCAATATTCCTATATGATTCACCAAAATGTGTTTCTTTTGTTTATTGACAAACCTATACGTTGTATTTGTAATTATCTTCAGGCAAAAGGATTTACCAAATGTTTTCTATTTCCATTTTTGGGGCGTCTGTTGCCGAGTGGTCACCTCTGTGGGTTCGAATCCCGACAGGGACTTGGATTCTTTAATGTGAGGAAGCTTTCCAGCTAGCTTACGGAACGTCGGTGGTTCTACTCAGGTGCCCATTCGTGCCTGAAATAATGCACGGAGGGGTACCTGAGGTCTTCCTCCACCAGTAAAGCTGGAACGTTGCGATATGACCTATACTGTGTCGATGTGATGTAAAACCCAATCAAACAAACAAACAATTTCCATTTTTTTTAAATTTTCTTAAATGTTCACACAACTTTTGAATTATGTTGTGATATTAGATAGTTCAGTTATTGTATTATTCTACTTCCAGTCTTGGTTTATCTTGCTTTGTTCCGTCTTGATGAACTCGGGATGGCAAACTATCGGCAATTTGTTAAATCTCAAGATATTAACAGAATGTATAAGGTACTTTTCTATGTGACATGCATTTTATTTGCTTCCATTTTACAGCATTTTAGTATTTGTAGTATAAATAAAGATCTATTTATAAAATTTGTTTATTTTTTTAATTGAGTAAGGCTTTCTTACATACAAATTTTTAGTAAACTGTTAATTTTGTTTTTAGCTCACTTTTGTCTTATAAACCAGGTCTAAAATTAAATTTACATATTTTGAAAATATATATATATATTCTAATTGACTAATTGGTCAATTACTTTATTCTTTGACTTAAGCTGATAAGAATTATGTCACAAATTCTGTCATGAAACTTTTTTTTTCAGTTCTTGAAGTTTTTCTTCAATGAGAAAAGTATCACAGGCTGGATGAAGGATGAATGGCAAAAATATTATGAACATGTTTTTGTTCAAACCAAGCTTGTTTCACCTCTAAGAAGGCAAGTTTTTAGTCTGACTATCCAGAGAATAGGGAGAGCTATTGTACTCACCCAGGCATCAGCGTCAGAGCCACACTTTGGTTTAGTTTTGGCATACAACATGGTATCTCCAAAACTAATGAAGAGAATCAGTTGAAAGTTCACAAGTTGTTCTCTTTAATTATTCAACATAAGGGGCACAGGTCCCATAACTATGAGTTACCTTTTTTACAGAGTTAGCCCCTTTTTGTTATTGTCAAGCACTGAGAATAGTCGAGAATGCTGTCTTATGGACAGCTCTTGAATTCTTATATTATGTCACTTCGCTGAGTTCATGATCATTTTTTTTTCTATCTTGACATAAAACTTAATTTTCATGCTGTTATTTGTATTCTCATGGTCATTGGATATTTATATGTTTATTTTCATGCTTTACAAAACTTTGATTAAAAAATAAAACTTGATTAAAAGTAATTCAGTAATGTAATAATAATAACTTCTTATGTATTTCAAAAGTTATCATTAGAAAAGAATTGTTTCATGGCAAAGTTAAAGTTATAAATTTGATTATTGGAATAAAATTGTTTCTTCATCATGACAAAGTTTAAGTTATAAATTTGATGTTTATAGGTGGTTGCCTGAGCTTACAGAAATGGTAAATCAAATGAAAGAGAAGATAGACAACATTAAAAAGCCAAGAAGAAAGGCTCTAACATCCACAGGTATGATTATAAAATAAATAATACTTTTCATCCACCCACAGTCTCTGCATAATGTGACTTTAAAAAATTGTAATATTGAAAATAAGTTTCACCAAGGAAATTTTAAGAGAGCTCGGATTTGGAATTATTTTTATGTATTTTTTTACAACTGAAAAATGATCGATTTTGTTTAGTTTTAGGTTTACATATATACAGTTCCGTTGCCATGGTTGTATATCTCTTTTCAGAAATCAAGCCATTTAATATAACACAGCCTCGACCAAAAAGTGTTCCTGTTCCCGAACCAGTAAGTACTCTTCTAAGTTTCTTCAACATGCATTTTATGCCTGAATAAACACATTAGTGCGATAACTGGTTTTGACGCCAAGGAAGCAGTCATCTGGGTTGACTTAAAAGCATAAGTCTAGGTTCGAAGAAAATGGGGTTTGGCATTTATGGGGAAACAAACAAATGTGCTAAACTTCTATTGTTAGGTAACTGAAGTAGGAATGTTTACTTGCCCTAAAGCAGTTTCTTGTGAAATCATACAGGACTATATTATCATGATAATTAATTGGGGGGAAAAAAAGATACATAGAAAATTAATAAAATGCCTTACAGTTGAAATTGTTATGAAAATTGAGGGGAAGGAAATGATAATAATTATGTAGAATATTGAGAATTGAATTTATGCTAATTGCTACAGGATTGGACAAACAAAATTATTCGCCTTACTATTGGTTTCAGTTAAAAGATATTGAATTGCAAACACTGCATGTATATTTTATGAAAAACCAGTTGAAGGTTACTTTCATAGCTTTATGTAATGTTATAATTTGTATAGAACAAAATCTTACCAGTATGTACAACTTGATTTAAATAAAAGAAAATACATGTAATCTCATTATATTTTATCTATGACAGGTTGGTCAAGAGGTAGTTATATTTATTGTTATCTTTCTGTAGTACCATATATTGTATATACTGATATAAGATTGTATTATTTTCAAACAAGATGCATGTTTTATATTTTCTTACTGATTTTCACAGTAGTTTTATTTACAGTTACATGATTCTAGTGTTTTATATAGATGGATATGTCTTGAGGAAATCTATTATTTGTTTCATGCCCTCAGGTATATAGTAATTGAACTATCGGTCTGTCTGTCCATATAAAGTTGACCTAAGCTGGCAAGTTGGATTTATCTTAAGTTCTTCTTACACCAATGGCTTTATAATTCATGCACTTACTTATCAATAAAAAGTCTGAAAGTACATGATCTTGGCTAGTTATGTGTAAGTTGTTTCCCTTTTAGCACTTTGAAAATTGATATGATTAACCTAAAGTTGCAAGTTGGATATATATAAGTTCTACCTGTACTGGTTTCATAATCAGTGGGGCCAAGGTCGAGGGTGCTAAAAATAGATTTTTACAAATTATTACAAGCTTTATTTATAGACTGATGTAGGAACATATAGGTTTGATGGTCCATAACTAGTTAAGTTGAATATTTTTCAACTTCATCAAATAGTAATGACGTGCCAACTATAAATTTTAACAATAACAAAAGATCCTGACTCTGTCAAGTTATATAACTGTGTTAATATTTTTAGCAATTTTTTTCCATATCTCAGTGACTGGGTAAACCTTTTCAGAAAATTTGGAACTGACAAGATTCAAGGCCGAGGGCATTTGTGTTTACCAAACATGTTCTTGTTTTGTTTTTTGTTTGTTTTTCTCTGATGGGTTATCACTTGATGGTTAAATAACAACTGTAGATTTTGAAACTTTAAAGTTTTATCTTTATCTTTATATAAAAACATATAAAAAAAAGATGGACTCCTTCTTAGTTACATCACAATGTTTTTGTATGGTTATAACTCACAGTAGAGCTATAGTGATGATGAATTGATTATAGCTATAAAATCAGAATCAAATGGCATTTAAATAAAATTTTGATGTATGATTGTGTTATGAATGTTTTATTATTTTTTGTAGATAATTTTTCTTGGTTGTTTATTTTTATATCACACATTTGTAGGAAATAATAATCTTTAAGTCTTATGTCCCTACTTGTATATTTTTTTGTTATCTTTTTCACCTCAATGGAGTTCCTTTAAAGTAAATAGGTCTACAATGGGCACATTTTCCATTAGTATTTCAAATTTTGAAGAAAAAAAACAATAGAAATTAATTTATCATTTAGATTTACTTATAAAATGCTTCTTGAAAAAATAGTTGATAAAATTCCCAGTGCTTTAGAATGTCCTTTTATCTGATGAATAATAATATTTTGTTCTAGACCACTTTATTATCTACAATTCACAATTAAAAGTTATGTTTCAAACAGTATAAAGGGAAGTCAGATCACAAGGATATGTTGTTTCATTATGTTCAATATGCTAGCATTATAAAGGTTCAAGACTGTATTGAAAGTATGTATGTATGTTTACAGATTTCTAAGTTACAGAAGCATAAACCACCACCAGAAACACTGTACAAAGAGCCGAGTGAATTAAACAAGATGGAGAGAATCAGACAAGAAAACAGGAGAAAAGCTGAGGTAACCATTATGTTATTAGTTATAAAAAATTTGATAGATTACATGGTCCTATATAATAAATAGATTGAAATAAAAAACACATTTATACAATATATATGCCCATATAACCTGTCAAATATCTGTGTAACAAATTTATAGCAAAGCAAACTTCCTATGTAAGAGAAAGAGATACTTCACAAATTGACTGCAGTGGTGTATATAAATGTAGTTTATATAAACATTTTTGTAGCAAGGAACCTATGTGTCAGATAATATAAATTTTTATATTTATAGCAGGGGGCTTGTGTGTTAGATGATATCAATTATCATTGAAATGCAAAAAAACCTATGTATTAAATGATATCACTTGTAATCTTTGTATTAAGGAACATATGTGTCAAAATGATATCTCTTGTAATCTTTGTAGCAATGAACCTATGTGTTTAATTATATCACTTGTAACCTTAATAGCAAGGAACCCAGGGTTGTCAGTAACATTTTTCGCAGAAGGTTTGTATTGGACTTGAGGCGGCCATTTCTGTTTTTATCAAGCATAACAAAAAGTGTTTTCTTTGAGGCGGCCCATAATGCATTTGAGACAGTCATTTTGGCCTCCTGCCGCCTCTTAGTGACAACCCTGGGAACCTATGTGTTAAATGATATGCTTGTTATTTTAGTAGCAAGGAACCTTTGTATTTCTATTGATTACACTTATAATCTTAGTAGCAAGGAACCTATGTGTTAAATAATATCAATTGTGATCCTTATAGCAAGAAACCTATGAAGAAACCTATGTGTGAAATGATAATTGTTATCTTAGTAGCAAGGAGCTTATGTTACATGACATTACTTGTAATCTTAGTAGCAAGGAAACTATGTGTTAATGATATCACTTTATATATTCACAGCAAGGAATCTATGTGTTTAATGATATCACTTTATATATTTCACAGCAAGGAATCTATGTGTTGAATATTATTACTAGTTATATTTACATCAGAAAATCTTTATGTTAAATGATATTTTGTTATTTATAGGAGAGACTGATGGAGGCTTCTAGGCGACAGTTTGCCTGTGCTAATCCTGAGAAGTCAAAGAAAACTAAGGAGAAGATTCAGAATATCCTTGATGAGGAGGAGAACAAGCTGGAGTTTGATAAACCTAAATCTAACAAAGCACCTTCTTTCTTGGTAAGAAGTCTCTCCATTGTCAGTCCCTTGCTCGGATCTTTCTTTTTAACTTATTCTTTTAATTTGATTACAGTAAGGTTTGTTTCTTTGTTCTCAAGACAAATTTTGTTTTTTGATTTGATTTTTTTTTAATTTCTATAGATTTCATTATTTTTTGTAAAGATTTTTACCTTCTTTGTTTTGATCCTCCGTGTTGGATGTTTTATCTGTAAATCAATTTCTGTAAATAATTAAATAAAAGAGATATTGATAAAATATTAAAACAATTATACCCCAAGTATGTTTTATGGGGTTTTTTTTGTAACATAATGTGTCCAGTCTTATGACTCATAGGGAAAGTGAAGATATGATAAGAATTTAAAATACATGTTTAATGTGTAATTGTATAATAAATGATCTGCTATGTAGATGACACCACATTCGAGTCGTTCTACATCATCAAGGAAACATGTAAGTTTGATGGTTGCCAGGGATAGGTTGCTGTGCTGCAGTTTTTAGCTCACCTGTCACTTTGTGACAGGGTGAGCTTTTGTGATCGCTTTCCGTCCGGCGTCCTTAAACTTTTACTTTAAATGACATCTCCTCATAAACCACTGAGCCAATTTCATCCAAACTTCACAGGAATGTTCCTTTGGTGGTCACCTTTGAAAATTGTTCAAAGAATTTAATTCCATGCAGAACTCTGGTTGCCATGGCAACCAAAAGAAAAAACTTTAAATATCATCTTCTAAAAAACCAAAAGAGCTAGAGCTTAGATATTTGGCATGAAACATCTTCTAGTGAGTGTCTACCAAGTTTGTTCAAATAAAAGCCCTTGGGTCAAAATTGGCCCCGCCCCAGGGGGTCATTGATTTTTCCTATATGCATATAGTAAAAACTTAAAAATCTTCTTTTAAAGAACCCAAAGAGCTAGAGCTAAGATATTTAGCATGAAACATGTTCTAATGGGTGTCTACCAAGTTTGTTCAAATAAAAGCCTTGGGTCAAAATTGGCCCCGCTCCAGGGGGTCATTGATTTTTCCTATATGCATATAGTAAAAACTTAAAAATCTTCTTTTAAAGATCCCAAAGAGCTAGAGCTAAGATATTTAGCATGAAACATGTTTTAATGGATGTCTACCAAGTTTGTTCAAATAAGAGCCCTGGGGTCAAAATTGGCACCGCCCCAGGGGGTCATTGATTTTCCCTATATGAATATAGTAAAAACTTAAAAATCTTCTTTTAAAGAACCCAAAGAGCTAGAGCTAAGATATTTAGCATGAAACATGTTGTAATGGATGTCTACCAAGTTTGTTCAACTAAGAGCTCTGGGGTCAAAATTGGCCTGCCCCAGGGGACATTGATTTCCCTTATATGTGTATAGCAAAACTTAAAAATCTTTTTGGAAAAAACCCGAATAGCTAGAGTTTAGATATTAAGCATGAAACATCTTCTAGTAAGTGTCTACAAAGATTGTTCAAATAAAAGCCCTGGGATTAAAACTGGCTCTGCCCCAGGAGTGTCATTGTTTTTAAATACTAGTATATGTGTAAAGAAAAAACTTAAAAAATCTTTTTTTAAAAAACCCAACAAGCTAGACCTTAGATGTTTAGCATGAAACATCTTCTAATGGGTGTCTACCAAGTTTATTCAAATAAAAGCCCTGGGGTTTAAACTTGCCCCGCTCTTGGGGGGCCTATATACAGGTGAGCGACTTCAGGGCCATCATGGCCCTCTTGTTGTTTATTTTTTTATTTAACAAAAAAATGATGCTTTTTATGCATAATATGCCTTGGTATTTGTTTGGTTAGGATTTATCTGTTTAATAGCTTGTTTAATGCTTTGTTTTTAAGAACAACACATAAACCATTTATTTGCACTCCCAAACCACCCACACCATATCCCAACTCAAGTTATGTTTTTGCACAAGAACCTCGGATAACTTTTGATATCATATGATGTTGAGGATTATGCATAGCTCCCACTTAAGATTTTCAGTAATAATGGGCTTTTATTTACATTTTGATGCTTTCATATTATTATTGCCATCATTTAGATTTATAGATATAATATCATTAAAAAATCAGTTATTCTTGTCTCGAACATTCAATTTTACATGCATTAAATATTAGCTTCATGTTTCAAGTTTTAAGTCTTAGTGTTTGATACACTTTATACTTATCCGGTTAGTTACTCAAGAGAGCTTCATATAAGTTACATGTTTTTTTTGACAATAGAGCTTAAATAAATAATGTTTAAACAAATAATGTTAAATTATTTTTTAAATAAATTTGGCTTGGGTTATTCCATTTTGTCACCTGCAGTAAGCAGGAAATTTCATCTTCTGCATACACTTAATGATACTCCCTCTTCTCCTGACACCTTCAACCTGCTCTGTACCCCACCCACCTCATTTCAGCTTGTCATGTTTGTTTATTTATGCAAATAAGAATTATTGAAGCATCCTGAAAACCTCTTGTAATATAAAGCTACCAGATCCAGGAGAGTGCCTATTCTTAAATTTTTTATATTAAATACCCTAAATTCCATTATTTAAAGATCAAAATCTTTTTGATTCCTGCAAGATTTCAATACAGTGGCATATTAGTGCAAATTATTGATCATTTTGCGGATTTTACTGACTTTGACTCTTTTAATGCAAGAACGGAAATTGCTCACCCTTTCCTCTTTTACTGAAGTTATGATTTTATTTCAAATTTGATATATTTGTTTCATCGTATTTATATTTGATTGATCATGTTTAAAAAGAAACACTGTAGAGCCATTCATTAGTTATAGTTAGAAATCTAACAAGTTGCATTATGATTATAATGCTTGAAGTTAATGTATTTAACATGTATGAGGGTGTTTAGTAGAATTATGCAATATTTCTTCTGTCACTTATCTGTCCAGAAAATTACAATCTTCTTTTGAGATGTTACAGTTTTTAGCTCACCTGTCACAAAGTGACAGGGTGAGCTTTTGTGATCGCTTTTCGTCCAGCGTCCGTCCGTCCTTCGTCCGTCCGTAAACTTTTACTTTAAATGACATCTCCTCATAAACCACTAAGCCAATTTCATCCAAACTTCACAGGAATGTTCCTTTGGTGGTCACCTTTAAAAATTGTTCAAAGAATTTAATTCCATGCAGAACTCTGGTTGCCATGGCAACCGAAAGTAAAAACTTTAAATATCTTCTTTTAAAAAACCATAAGAGCTAGAGCTTAGATATTTGGCATGAAACATCTTCTAGTGAGTGTCTACCAAGTTTGTTCAAATAAAAGACCTGGGGTCAAAATTGGCCACGCCCCAGGGGGTCATTGATTTTCCCTATATGCATATAGTAAAAACTTAAAAAATCTTCTTTTAAAGAACCCAAAGAGCTAGAGCTAAGATATTTAGCATGAAACATGTTCTAATGGGTGTCTACCAAGTTTGTTCAAATAAAAGCCCTGGGGTCAAAATTGGCCCCGCCCGGGGGGGTCATTGATTTTCCCAATATGCATATAGTAAAAACTTAAAAAATCTTCTTTTAAAGAACCAAAAGAGTTAAAGCTAAGATATTTAGCATGAAACATGTTCTAATAAGTGTCTACCAAGTTTGTTCAAATAAAAGCCCTGGGGTCAAAATTGGCCCCTTCCCGGGGGGTCATTGATTTTCCTTATATGCATATAGTAAAAACTTAAAAAATCTTCTTTTAAAGAACTCAAAGAGCTATGGCTAAGATATTTAGCATCAAACATGTTCTAATAGGTGTCTACCAAGTTTGTTCAAATAAAAGCCCTGGGGTCAAAATTGGCACCGCCCCGGGGGTCATTGATTTTCTTTATATGCATATAGCAAAAACTTAAAAAATCTTCTTTGAAAAAACCCAAATAGCTAGAGTTAAGATATTAAGCATGAAACATCTTTTAGTGAGTGTCTACAAAGTTTGTCCAAATAAAAGACCTGGGGTCAAAATTGGCCCCGCCCCGGTGGTCATTGATTTTCTTTATATGTGTATAGCAAAAACTTAAAATCATTTTTGAAAAACCCCAAATAGCTAGAGTTTAGATATTAAGCATAAAACATCTTCTAGTAAGTGTCTACAAAACTTGTTCAAATAAAAGCCCTGGGGTCAAAACTGGCCCGGCCCCAGGGGTGTCATTGTTTTTAACTATATGTGTATAGTAAAAACTTAAAAAAAATCTTCTTTTAAAAAGCCCAATGAGCTAGAGCTTAGATGTTTATCATGAAACATCTTCTTATGGGTGTCTACCAAGTTTGTGCAAATAAAAGCCCTTGGGTTAAATTGGTCCTGCAACGTTGGGTAGGGGGGTGGGGGTTGGGGGGACCTGTATACAGGTGAGCGACCTCAGGGCCATCATGGCCCTCTTGTTATTATTTCTTAAGAGTATATCATGGTTTATGAACTTTATTTCTTTAATTTATGAAAATGAAATAAAATTGTGCTTGAAGTATTGAATATTTCATTATTTACTGGTATTGTGACTTATATTTGACATTACTGCTAACTTTGACTTGTACATGTATATGTATGACATTACTGGTAACTTTAATGAATAACTTTCGACACAATTGATTAATTTGACTTATATTTGTGTATTTGTCATTACTGGTAACTTATATTTTATATTACTAGTAATTTAACTGATATTTGACATAATTTTAACTTATTTTTGACATTACTGTTAACTTGATTTATATTTGACATTACTGTTAACTTATATTTGACATTACTGTAAACTTGACTTATATTTTATATTACTAGTAATTTAACTGATATTTGACATAATTTTAACTTATTTTTGACATTACTGTTAACTTGACTTATATTTGACATTACTGTAAACTTGACATATATATATTTGACATTACTGTTATCTTGAATTAATGTTAACTTGACATATATTGTATGTTACTGTTTACTTGACTTATATTTGACATTACTGATTACAGAACCAGGAGGTTCCTGTTAAAATGACTGCAGCAGCTATTCTGCGTGAAGGTGCCCTCTACCAAAGAAGAGAGGCAGAGGAAATTAGAAGGTAAAGCTAGAATAGAAATATTTTTTCCAACCCTCAGACTTTTCTTTTTTTCAATGATTTAAAGTTCATTGCACTAATGATCAGTTTATATAAATTATCAGAAACTGGATAATGTTAAATCATATCTTAAACTATATAGTTTGTGATATTATCAAAGAATCTACATAAACATATCTTGAAGAAACATAAGCTTGTACATAGTGCCTACATACTGTATGTATGTGACAGTATTTTAACCTTAAAGGTATTTACAAAAAAATATCTCCTTTTTTTTTAATTATTGAAGTAAATGTTTGTTTCTTGTAGACTAGAGAATCTGGAAGCTGGAGCTAAAGATAAATCTGAATTTGAAAAATGGCAGAATGAGATGAAGCGTAAGGATATGGAGGCGGAGCTTGCTGATATAGAGAAGCGCCGCCTGGAGGGAAAACTGAGTCATGAGGAGGCAATTCTTGCCAGACAGAATATAATACAAGAAAACAAACAGAGAGTGGCGGAGATTAAAGAAGAGGTGTGGTTTATATTATATATATGAGCCACGTCGTGACAAAACCAACATAAAGCGTTTGCAACCAGCATGGATCCAGACCAGCCTGCGCATCCGTGCAGTCTGATCAGGATCCATGCTGTTCGCTTACAAACCCTTTAACAAGTAGAGAAACTGATAGCTAACAGCATGGATCCTGATCAGACTGCGCGGATGCGCAGGCTGGTCTGGATCCATGCTGGTCGCAAACGCATTACGTTGGTTTTGTCATGGCGCTGCTCAATTATGTTCTTTATATAGCAAATAAAATGCATGAATTGTGTTACAATTTCTATTTCTTTGATTTTTTGGCAGTTGTGAACTGTTGAAAAAATAATGATAAAGACTAGAGCTGTAACTTAATGAGATATATTTTTGTACAGTAAATTTCTGTATTTGATTTACATTGGTGACCAGTTGATATATAACACAATGTTGATTTACAAAGGAGAATTATGATACAACATTGATTCTTTATGTTTATGGTTAAAACTAAGAATATATACATTTAGTTTCTACAGAAAATCAAGGAAACACTTGTGGCAGAATGTTTTGTTAAGTTGATCAAAATTTGTAAAAAACATTTATCTTTAATTTTTTATTGCATGCCAGAGATTAGACTAGAATACTCATTTGTTAATTGTAAACTAACATGTCTTTGGCAGAGACATAAAAATGAGAAAGAAAGAAATATATAGTAAATCTGATACATTTGGCAGGGAGAGAAAAAAAATGAGAAAGAAAGAAATGTTTAGTTAAACTGAAACCAGTATTTGTAAATTTTGTTGTTGTTTTTTTTTAGACTCAGAAAATGATGGAAAGATTCTTGGAGGAGAAATTTAAAGAAGAACAACAAATGAGGTAAAAGTACAAATTGGCAGTAATGAATTGACTTAATTGTTAACAACATTGCTTCATTAATGACATAATGAAATTATCTTAAGATTCAAATAAAAGACAAAGACTTATTTTTATCCCCCTTTACATTGCTATGAATTATACAAAATTGCTATAGATTAGGCAAAATTCAGGGAAAAAATCCATAGCTTTGATAGTTTAGGGAAAAATGATTTGTACTTCTCAATAAAATCACTTATAATTTAATTAGATTAAAGCTCTTCCTTTAGAAACAGAATTAATAATTTTCATTTTATTTCTGTTTCTTGATAGCATGGTGAAACATCTGAAATTGTTTGTGGTTTACATTGATTTTAACTAATAGGATTGAAATGAGCTGCGTCACGACAAAACCAACATAATGGGTTTGCGACCAGCATGGATCCAGACCAGCCTGCGCATCCACGCAGTCTGATCAGGATCCATGCTGTTCGCTATCCGTTTCTCTACTTGTTATAGGGTTTGCAAGCGAACAGCATGGATCCTGATCAGACTGCGCGGATGCGCAGGCTGGTCTGGATCCATGCTGGTCGCAAACCCATTATGTTGGTTTTGTCGTGACGCGGCTCAAATGTTATAAAAGTAAGACAAACATCTGACTCATAGAATTTGATAATTGTGCTATTAGCAGTACTTCAACAGAAAGTCAAGAATACATTTTTAAAGATTAGAATTTATTTTTTTAGAACATTATTTTGATTATTTATGGGGGATCCGTGGTTAAGGTGGTTTACTTCAATCCACTTGCCTCACACCACTGAGGGATCGAATCTTGACAGGGTCTTTGGATTCTTAAATGTGAGGAAGCTATCCAGCTAGCTTACGGAACATCAGTGGTAGTACTCAGGTGATCAGTTATGCCTGAAATAATGCACAGAAGGGCACATGAGATATTCCTGCACTAGTAAATCTGGAAAGTCGCCATATGACCTATACTGTGTTGGTGAAATGTAAAAACCAACCCAAAAAATAAAGAAAAAAATTGTATCAGTATTATGCTAATGTACATGTACTCTTTTTCATGCATAGCAGCATGGACAATAATGAAAAAAATCCGTGATATTTCAGGCAACTGGTCGAGGATACAATGAAGGGTCATAAAAATGCTAAAGAATCCCAGAAAAAGCTGCAGGAATATAAACAAAAAATAGGTAAAAATCAGTGTTCTTTATTGATAGTCTTAGTACTATTTTTTCAATCTCCGAAATGATAATTTTTAATCTCATTACCTTTTGTTTACTTTAGTCTGAGATCTGTATATGATTTAAAGAGTTACTCCGCTTTATATGTGGTCATTCATACTGCTTAAAATAAAGTCCTTCCTATGGAGCATTTGATGTAAATCATGATCAGAAATCAAGTTAATGAAAGTATTTACTTACTGAATATTTTCTGATTGTAAAAGTTGATTCTATTTACTGTTAGTTGTAAGCATTGCTTTGGATGTTATTTTTGCAGTGAAACATTGAATTTGTTATTGAATAAGTTGAGAAAGAAAATAAAGTAAAATATATCTAAAATGCCCTTTAACTTCTTTTCTTTACTATAACATTGAGTGGTAGCATACCCTAAAAATTAATACGTAGGACTAGTAATCTTGAGAATTGCTGGCTCAAACCCTGTAAATGCCAAACTGTTGTTTCTGTGAGAAAGAAACTTTACATTAATTGCTTCAAACTGGTTTGTTCAAGGAAATAAAATCCAGAGTGTTTCAATAAGCTTATAACTTCCAAAACAATGGAACTGAAACAAATTCGTATAAACTAAACAAACATTGATATTTAAACTAAACAAACATTGATATTTTTGTGCGTTACAGTTCAAGAAGTAGCGGAGGAGAGTCAGGAACTGATGAGGCGTGCTATTGAAGAAGCCGAGATTGAGATGCGGCGCAGAATGGAGCTCATACACCAGATCCGGGCCATGGAAGCTGTGCCTGTTATCAGGCAGAAGTTTGTTGATCTAACATCTGCTGCCGGGCATGGTCTCCTTAGTGAGATGTCAATTGCTGAGGTAGGTTGTGGTCATCTTGTGGTCTTTTTATTTTTTTAGGGAATTCTTCACAAATATCTAAATAGGTTTTGACCTTTTTTTCTTCTCTTTTTTCAATGATAAATGCAAAGTCATCAGAGTAATATCCAATATCTTGTAAACTTTCTTATGCTAAAGAAATTACTTCTTCTGTTCATATAAAGACAAAGTATAGGTCTACCCTTCCATTCAATACATTTATTATGTTGAATTCTAGGTAAGGATTTGTTTGAAATAGTATATTATCCTTTGTAGTCAGAAAGATGCTAAAGTTACATTTAAATTGATTTGATATTTAAAGTTTATGATTTTAATATTTTCTTTTTATTGAATATGAAGGGGGAAAAAGGTCACTTTTGTAAGGTCATTGTTTAATTTTCAACAAAACATGATAATATATGTAATTGTAAATTTACAGTTGAAAGAACGAATGGCTCTTCTGAAGACAGCTGAAAGAGAGGCAGAGGAGAATAGAAGAGACGAAATACTTGCTACTAAAGAGGTATATATCTAATGCTTTGTAAGTGCCCCTTTGTGGCAGAGTGGTTAAGGTCGTTGACTTCATACAACTTTCCCCTCACCTCTGTGGGTTTGAATTCCCCTTAGTGACTTATGATTCTTTCATGTGAGGAAGCTACCCAGCTTAGTCTAGCAGATATTAATCATGCTGGCCTACCTCTTATAGATAGAGCCTAGTTTGATTGACAGATATCCATCCTGGCCTACCTCTTATAGATAGAGCCTAGTTTGATTGACAGATATCCAGCATGGCCTACCTCTTGTAGAGTGTAGTCTGAGTAACAGATATCCAGCCCGGCCTACCTCTTGTAGATAGAGCCTAGTTTGATTGAAAAATATTCAGCCAAGCTTACCTCTTATAGATAGAGCCTAGTTTGATTGACAGATATCCAGCCTGGCCTACCTCTTGTAGTTTGTAGTCTGAGTAACAGATATCTAGGCTGGTCTGGTCTCTTTTCTGGTAGTTAGATAAATCATCTTTGCATCTGTCACATCTATTGTTTTGCTATATTATTTTGGACCGGAATGAATTCAGATAAAAGTGTTTGAAATTTTTCAGATGGACAAAAGAGGTTTTATATATAAACTGTAATTTACTTAATTTATGTTTCTACTTTAGGCAAAAGATCAGATGTTACTGGACACATTAGAGAAGATTTCCAAACACCGACTTGAACAGACAAAGGCAGCTGCTGTAAAGTAAGCCCCATGTCTCTTTTATGTAATAAGAAGGTTTATTTAAAACACTACAGGTGAAGCAAAAGTTTTCAACAAGTTTAGTTGGCCATATATGTCATGTTAAAGTGATGGGCACTAAATTATTAGATCAAAGGTTCTGTGTATTAATTACTAAGATGTAAGAAAAAATATTGTGTTTATATCCATCCTTACAGAACAGATTTGTAAGTGCTTATGCCTTATATTCATATACAGTCAAACCTGTTTGAAGGCCACCTTCAAATAAAGATAACCTTGCAATAAAGACCATTTTTTAATAATTCTTCATTGATAAAAATAGAATAAAATAACCTCCAAATTAAGACCCCTTGTATATAAAGACCATGATTTGTCTCTCCCTTGGGTGGCCTTTGTTCACGGGTATATTTTTTGGAAAAAGGTCATCGACACTTAAATAATTGATTTTATTGTACTTATTTGATGTAATGGATAAAAAATTTATTTGATGTTTTAAGACTGGAATCTCGTAAGAAGGGTGAACCCAAGAAGATGCAGATTCAGACTGAAGAGCTGTCGGCTTTACAGAAGCGACTTGACGAGAAGAAACAACAGCGACGTCAAGCACAGGAAACCTCCCGTCTTGCCCCAAATACTAAATCGGCCCAAAGAACTAAAAGTTTGATAAATCAGAAGGTAAGAATATATCTAAATTTTAAAAGATCCTCAAGAAATTTATTTTATCTTTGCCAAAATCAGTATATTTTTGGCATTATATATCAGTTTATTTGCTCCTGAGCTAAAAATTAGACATAAAAGAATGGATACATTCATTTTAGTTGAAATGAACTTATGGTTAGAACTTTTCTTTAACCAGATATATAGGTTGATATATATACCTGCTTTAACTTGATATAAACCAGTTACAGATTTATTTAACTTCAAGTGAACCTTGGTGTAAAAGGGCTGTTAAAAATTAACTAAGTGATGTAAAAGGGCTGTTTAAAATTGTTTATAAATTTGTTCAATCAACTTAGTGACAAAAATGTGTATTATCACATATGTAGTTGCCTTAGTATATGATAATTTATTTAGAACTGTGGTAAATCTTTGTATAAACAAATGTCATTGTAGGCACTTTTCAATGTTTTTCATTTTGGTTCCTACACAAACATTTTTTTCTCTAGAAACATTTAGAGGAAAGTCGCTGGAAGGAATTAGAGGCTACAAGGGAGAGAACTGCCCAAGTAATGCAACAGACATATGCCAAATCAGCCAGTAGACTCAACACAATGATGTCAGTTACATAACCTGATTTGACACACTCTGTACACTCTACAAATAAAATGTGATATATTTTATATTTATATATAAAAGAACATTTTTTTTTATCATGAAAAAGAACATATTTTTACTGTTCATAAATTATCAGTATTTCCACGACCAATAAATCCGTCCTGTGATAAATGTATTATTTTTTCGTAAGACTCCTGTTTATATGTCATGTTGATAATGTTTTATTTGTTTTATGTGCAAATGTTTTATCAATTCTCAAGTGATTTATTAGCTCGACTATTTGAAGAATAAAGAGAGCTATTGTACTCACCAGGCTTTGGCAATCGCTGTGGTCGTCACACTTTTTGAAAAGTTTTTGTGTGTAAGCTGGTAACACCAGAACTACTGAATAGAATGAGTTGAAACTTCAGTAACTTAATTTGAGAGCATAATAGGAGGTCACTGACCAAGGCTCATAACTCTTCATGTATTTTGACAGAATAAGTGGCACTTTTTGAAACTTAAAAAAAAATCTGCTTATATTTGGGCACTGAGAATAGTCAAGCAGGCTGTCTTACTAACAACACTTGTTAAATTCATTGAGTTTAATTTCTTTTGTTTTAAAACCTGCTGATGCTGTTTTTTAGAATAATGACTGGTCTGTTGATGGTGGTGCTAAGCCCAGTCTGCCTTCTTATATCTGTGAAGGTGTGACCAGACTCTAAACTGCTGAATGCACAATTTTAACACATTGTTATCAAATACCCTTGCATTAATTATTGACAGTTGTAAGAAAGACAAACAATTTATCATTCAGATGTAACATGGCAAAGAATAATAAGAGTAAAATTGTAGTTTTTTAAATTACTTTTCTGGTACATCTTTGTGTCGTTTTTATAAAACAATTTTGTGTGTAGAAATATGGTACATGCGTGTACAGTACTACCAGTATATCTGGCAAATTCTGTCTGTTGGTTTATATTTATATAAGTAGGTATAATAACTATTACAGAAATCATATAATGAGACTTTAAGGCAACATTTACATTATTTAATAACCATACCATGTATTTGCTATTAGTCTGTAAATTTTTTTAGCAGACAATATACTTGAAACAATCTGAAGTAAATCTGATATAAATGTATTGATATTAAGAAATAATTCCTAATCCAGTAAGTTTTTAAGGTTTTAATGTTTATGCCTTGCGTTTGTTTTTAAAGCATTGGTGTGAATGAATTGTACCAGTTATTTGTATCACCATAAATTTGTGATTTCACCATATACAATGTATTTGTTATTTGGAATAATAGCCCCACTGAAAATATTGTAGTACAATGTATACTACTTGTACAGGTTCTGTAGAGACATTTTACTGCCAGAACGAAATGTTTTATTCAAATATCAAATATTATTGTAAAAAATGATTATTTTGTGAGCAAGGAAAGATTTTATACATGAATGTTACAATTTGTTATAGATGTTTAATTTATATTGAATTGAATCTGATGTGATTTCATATTTATTATTGTTTTCATTATGTCATCATTTTTACAAAAAATAATAAAACTTTGAAAAATTAAGTAAGTTTTTTTTGCTCTTTTATGTATTGTATTTTAAGTCCCAGCTCATCTTTATGAAGAGCTGTCCTACTCTTTACCAGTTACTTCTTTTATTCAGTCAGAGATCTACTTCAAACTTCAAATATATGTTTTTATCAATTCACCCTTTCATTGGGAGTTATCTGCCCTTGAAAGCTTAAGAAATTTTTCTGTAAAAATGTTACCCTTTATAAAGTCCCTTGAGCAACACTGAAACTTATACTGTCCATCTTTCTGCATGGGTTCATGGGTACATAGGAAATGACCCTTTGGGGAATCCACTATTAAAGTTTTTTCAAATTGTAACTTTTCTTGTTTGGACATAGGGAAAAAAAAAAGTTTTTTTTTAATGCAAAATTTCAATAATCTTGTCTAAAAGTACAAGACCCAGAGCTTTAGTGTATAGCACCATCTAGAGGTCCTCTACCAATGTTTTTAAATTATATTTCAAGACTTTAAATTCACCCTGGGGGTCCTGAAATTTCTTCATATGTACAGTGTAATGACTAAAAAACTAAATCTTTGAAACTTCAATGACTAGAGCTTAGATATTTGGAATGAAACATCTAATTGATCTTTACCAAGGTTATTTAAATGAGGGCCATGGGAATAAGATTAGCTCTGCCCTTTCCTTATGTATATACATATTGTAAAAACTGTAAAAAATTATCTTCTCATGATCGAGCTTAGACATTTGGCATTAAACTTCCTTCACATCACCTTTGAAGAATAGCTCCTGTCATACGGCCCTTGTCTGTCTTGAATGTCTATTTCACCCGTTTCCTGTTTTTGAGAAATTTTGGAAATATTTTACATATGAAACTTTCTACAAACTAAGTAAAAAGATTTGTTTATCGAATGTCGGAAGCATGGACCTTTGCATGCAATTTTCCACATAGAACAACCATTGTAAGAGAATGACATTTTACAAAATCCTTTTTTTTTGGGAACCCCGAAACACGGGTCATTTTTGAGCTTAAAGCTTTTCATCCGACAAAGGGTTTTTAGCATTTTTCTCACCCGTGTTTTGAAAATCCCCTCTGTAAAGGGAGTTGGTGTAAGATTTTATAGGTTCTTCCCTAGTGGCCCGCCCCCTAAGGGCCAGAAATATTGCCACAGTGGAGTACCCGGGGGTCTTCTTCAACCAGTAAAGCTGTTCAAAAAGTCGCCGTATCACTTTTACAGTGTCAGTGTGGCTGATAATATTGATATAAAATAGCAATAAAACCTGTTAATATGTATATATAATTACGCATAAAAACTTTAGTTATTTTGTATTCCTACATTTGTATTGCTCTCACTTCAAAAAAAAAAGTCTTCTCTTTTTGGGATGCGACTAGAAAAACAAAACAAAACATTTTTACATTTATATATACGTAACAGTTTTTCCGATTTTGTATAAAATACCATTTTAACGAGTGGATTATATAAAAGTGAGATTTTGTAAGACAATAATCAAACCAAGTCTGCAACATTTTCTATGTTGCCTTGATGGCCTTTCAGAGATTCATCTTGACTTTATACAGGACTTGTGTACATGCTTGGAAATATCTTTTTCATCGAAACAGCCGTGACTGTGTGTGCTTGAAAAACAACATGACTGTACTTGAGATATTATCTATACACTTGAAATAAACATGGTTATAAAATTGTCATATGTATCATTGAAGCAATTATGACAGTAAAAAATATTTCTGTGCTTGAAATAATCATGACTGTCAATGATGTAGTCATGTATGTGCTTGAAATATTTCAAGCACATGCGTGCTTGAAATAATCATGACTGTACAGAAAAGTCTGTACTTGAAATACTAATTATCTTGCTTATTCTTGAAACAGAGACATATAAAAACTCATGTATTTTAACGTAATCATGACTATACTATTCGCCACGAATTGGTTAGCAACGTTTTAAACGAAAAAAGGCTTGTTCATAAAAACACAACTTACTTAAGTAACTTCCTTCTGTTTTTTTTTGTTATACTCTTGCGATAAAATTACTTCTATGCAATACTGTATTACAATGTATATATAAACGCGTGGGTTCAAGAGAAAATATCCATTTTGGTTTTAACTTGATAAGATGACATATCGTTTTTAGTTTCTGCGCGTGACCGTTTGAAATGAGCTGTCTACTTATGCTTGGCTTCTCTTTTAACTGAAATTATACGCCAACATACTATACTTTATAACATTTATTTTATCTTGTAAGAAATGCAACCCCAGTCCACCCTCAGAAATCTGTAGAATATTGAACCCTCAGATTATTAACTAGTGAAAACTGCTGTCGTTGTTGTAACATAAGTCGTAATTCTCTTGACTTTTCTGTGACGTTGATGTACGGTTCAAATATATATACATGTATGCAGACTTCTTTTTTTATACAGAGGCTGACTATCATTCTGTTCTTTTTGTTTTAGATAGTTCTTAAAATACAATGAAAAAAATGCACATTCTCTCTCGCCCCCTACCACCCACCGGTTGTTTGCAGTATTCAATCCAGTAATGGAATCAATGATCCCGAAGGAAAATCAACGGCACTGTTACATATTGAACCCAAATTACATTAATTTATTATACAAAAAGCATAACTTGCTTTTGTTGCTATTGTTGCATTAAAATTAGTACAAATTAATGACAAAAGTATATTTATTTTGGTGTTTTTTCTAGTAAGTTCAACAAACACAGTCCAAACCTAATGAGATAAAAAGTTCGTCTTAAAAGCAATCCTTTTACAGCTGCTGCATAATCCATTTGAGATAATGATTGATCAGGCTTGAAATTTATTCATTTGCTATTTTCTTCTTTTCATAATAGCAAATGTTCATTTTTCCCTCGACAAAATATTTTTTATGTGTAACGAGGGCGTAATACTTTGACCGGGGTCATATCATTATGACCGGGGAGACAATATTCTTTAAAAAATATTGACCGGGGGTAATAATTCTATGGTACCGGTTTAAAAGTAGTGAGAAGAAAACTCATTTATCACACACCCGTGCCGATTTTGCGACTCCGTAAATATGGTATTGCACGGCCGTGCATATATTTTGACGTGACGTCATTAGCGTTATACAAACATAGTGTAAAGAGCGCTAAATGTTAACGTTATACTACATGCGAGTCAATGAAAAATGACTCTTATTTCATTTTAAACGGTCTTTATTTTGGGTATGTGATAAATAGAATATCAAATTCGTGAAAGTTCCATACTGAATTTATTGCACTCGTTAAATAAAATAATATTATGCTCGCCAGAGGCTCGCATAATATGATTTTATTCAACTCGTGCAATAAATTCAGTATGGAACATACACTCATTCAATATCCTCTATATACCTTTCAGCGCAACCGTCCCGATGCGCACGCATAACGTCTATGACGTCATAGTATACTTGACGACGGCGTCATTAACTTGCAACACATATGGTCATTATGGCGCTGTTTAAAATATATACAGAGAATGGGTAACTGTTGTCTAAAGACGAAGATAATTCCGAACCCTATTAATTCAGAAGAAGGCCGAGTGAAGAACGGTGGATGGAAAAGAAAAATAGCCAAACGGGTGAAACTGGCGAAGTTTTCTGCACGAGTTGACATCATTTCTACAAACGATAGCGTTCCTGGAACGTCTTCAAAGTCTGATGTCAAAAGGGCAGAATCTGTGTCTTCCGAAGATGTTGTAAATACTGGGAATTTAGATGGTTAGTGTGAAATCGGACATGATATTACAAATGT